TTTTTTTTTTTGTGGATGGGAAATTCTGGGGAAATGTAACGGAGTTGTGTGTTCTCTGTTTAAATGCTCACTGCAAAATGGGCAGCTTGACTGTTTCCTAAGCCATGCAAAGACGTAACTTCAGTAGCTGATTAATCAGGCTTTTTTCCTCTCCCCAGATCCAGACTATTAAACTTTTGCTCCCACAGGTTATTTTGTCACAGTTTGAAACGTGTCCAAGCTCTCCAGCGCATTATTTTTGCAGGAGTTGGACACTTGTGTTCCCCACGCTCTGCTCTTCTGTATCCTGGAAAACTTTAGCTGCGTTTAGGAGCTGTTTATTTTCAAAGAAACAGGACCCAAGAGTTCCCCGAGAAGGGTGTGCACAGCTCGGAGGGAGGAGAAGTCCCTTCTAGTCTTAGCAGAGCAAGGGTTAGTCCCCGGCACGTCCGTCTGTGCTGCCGTCTGGGGTCGGCGACATGCCACAGAGTGTTCGCTGGGCGCTGGCTGCACCGGTGCTGGCTGTTGTTGGCAGGTGACTTGTGGAAGGGTGAGCTTGTGTTCAAAAGAAAATAACTTTCTGTTGGGTTCCTCTTGTTGCGTGCTGCACCCTCATGGCGCTTGGAGTGCGCGTATTGCTTTTTAGATAAGCAAACGTGCTGTGAAGATAGAAAAAACCAGCTCCACGAGGAGGAATAACCATGAGTGTTGCCGTTGCGGCTCTGGGCTGTCCTGGGTCACCCAGCCCACGGCCCTGCTGGGCTGATTTTCTTATTTCTTGAAGAGGAAGGGAGTAAAGGGGGGAAAAGTGGCGGCAGAACTAGGGGCACCCACTGTCCCGGTACCTGTTATGCCTGTGGGAAGTGCTGAGGCTCTCAGCCACTTTGCTGTTCCCGAGCGCTGAGGTTTAGCAATGGGAAATCAACCTTTTTATACAGCTGGGGCTTGTCCCAGTCCCGGCAGGGCTCTGTGCTTGAGGGGCGGTTACTGGTGGGGTCTCTCGGTCCCCCAGAGAGTAATTCTCCTGCAGGAAGAGAGGCCCAGTTCTCCCAGTTTCATGCTTGTGTTGGGAGGCTGGTTCTGTGAAATTACCAGTGAGGTGTTTTTACAGTAGCATGTTTTACAGTTGGTGCAGGGTACACGGTGCACGTAAAACCTGGAATATGTTCAGGGCTCGCTGGGGAATGGTGTGTGGTTATTTGTCCCCCTCTCACCCTGGAGGTCCTGCGGGCTGGAGCTTTGAATCGCCTTTGCTGGAGAGTGCCAGGTTTTGACCCGCACTTTGGGTCGGTAACTCATCATCTGCTCCCTGGTTGGGGCTGCAGTGGCTCCTGCTTTGTTTGTTGTTTTTTTTTTTCCCCTTAGAAAAATATCAAATCCCACTCACCGTTCAGAGCTTTAAAAAAACCAACAACCCAAGACCTTATTTTCAAATTTAACGAACCATCCTCATTTGCATGCTCAGAGCTGTATTCTCTGGAGGGGACCTGACCTGTTCCCTCTGTACACAAATGTTTCTTCTGTCCTTGGAGATTAATGTACACCTAACAGCTGAATTTGGGTTCGATTCCGACACTCTTATGCTGGTGTAAACCTGGGAGTGACCAGAACTCGCTCTGTGTTTTGTCTAAGGCTCATGGGTTCAGCAGCGGCACCGGGGGCGGCCGCTTGCAGGATCAGGGCCTGCAAATGTCATTTGCCAGCAAATGATTCGAGGACATTCCCTCCAGGATAAGTTGGCCGATGGGCTCCGACGCAGTCTGGATTTGAGCCAGATCTGTTTCACAAACCCTCGTCTCCGCACACGCATGCCCTTCCCCTGAGTTTGCATAAAGGGAATATTAACATCTCTCCTGAAGGATGAGTAGCTAAAATGGAAAGCTTCCTCCCTAGTAGTCTTCACCCTGGTGTTGGAAGCTTGTCATGCGCAGTGTGGGTCTGTGGAAGAGGCTGCTCCGTGGGTTGCTCTCCCTGTGTTGTTGGGATACAGGCTTTTTGACCACAGAGTGCTCTCTTTCAAGTATATTTATATTTTTCTTTGAATAAGCAGGAGTGGGGAGCATTGGTCCACTAATCCTTTCCAGGAGAGTAGATGGGAAGGGAGTACCAGAGAGAGATTCGGAGCAGCTGGAAGCATTTGCTTCAGATCAGTATTTCAATTCCTTTTTTTCTAAGGAAAATATGTTCAACCCCAGTAGTCTGTGGTCCAGCTCTGTGCTGTGTTTTACTGGGCAGTGAGTGAATTTTAAGGTCTGGCTTTAATGGGGTTGCATAGTCAGATGTGATGTGGGGTCAGTAAGTGGCAGTGAGATGCTGTAAGTGGGGCTTACAGTGTCTTCTTTAATGAATCGGGTAGTTATTGAGCTGCAGAGTGCTCGCCCAAAGCTTTGTGCCAGTGTAATTTGCCAATAAGGGTGAAAATCAAAGGAATCTGTAACGTGCATCTAAGTGAGCCGGAGCCAAACACCCAGCTCTGTAGTCTGATCACTGCTTTGGGGTGTGCACGGCAGCGTGCTCGCTTCTACCTCCGAACAAATTGCCTTTTATAATTGCCCCAAAGTACAGGTAATTTGTAAGCTTTCTTTCACCACCGCTCCCTGGCGCTAGTCCAGGACGGGCTTGCAAATCTGGAGGAGAGCTTTCGAGAAAGCATCCTGCCTATAGATCCGAGTTGCCAGCTTAACCTATGTGTTCGGCTTGGGTTTGGGTGGGTTCTCCCGTGGCCCGCGGTGGCCAGGCTTTGCCGCTCAGGGCAGGAGATGCTGAGCCGTGGGGTGACATCTCGGCTGTGCCACGCGGCCGGCGCGGGTGCGTTGGGGGAAGGTGCGGGCAGGTATCCCGGCTGGGCTGGGGCGCCCGGAGCACAGGGGCACCCACGGCAGGGGAGAGCCGGGATGGAGCGGCCCAGCGGGCACGCGGACGGGGTTGGGGGCCTGTCCCTGCCGCAGAGCGCGCCTGCCAAGCTAGATAGAGGCAGGCGGCTGCGTGCCAGCCTAGGTCTCTGGCAGAAGTGAAATGCTGTTAACAGCCATGATTATTAGCAGAGTATTAACCATATGCTGCGGGGATGCTGGTTGTCAGGGTGGGTTTCTAGCTCGACGAGACGTTGCAGGGTGGGCAGGGGCTTGAGCAGTCACGTAGGACCTGCCGTCTGATTTCACCGCTCTCGTTGCGTGCCAGCCCTCGTGGCTCCAGCCATCGAACTGGAGGTGACTGGAGGTGAAAGCCAAACTGTTACCAGCGAGCGGGGCTCGAGCGAGCTCCGTCTGCCCTCGCTGCTGCTTCTGACGTGCTGGAGGATGCTGAAGCCGTGCCCTGCACCCTGCTCCGGCCAAGGCGCAGCGCCTGTGTTTCAATGATAAAACTCTCACTTTTGGTTAGAGTGAAGCGGTTGTAAATTTTGACTTTATGCCACAGTGGACGTTTGAGGCTGTAGTTAGGAAGGTCTGTCTTAAATGAACGTATGAAATATCCTGCTGGCAGTGTTTATTGAGTCAAATTCCCTCTTACCCCTGAATTAACAGCTGGATACTTTCCACGCTACAAAACAGATTTCAGGTTTTGAGTTCAGGCCTGAGGTTGGTTCAGCCTGGGGTTCATAAGGTGGAAGAGCGGAGGAAGTGAAAACAGCTATTTAATTTGGAAACACTGATGTACTGGTAGAAGTACACAATAAATGAAATGCTGCTTGGTGTTGTTACTTGTGTCTGACAAACTGCCTTTCTTGCTCCGGAGTTCGCCGGTGGCAGTGTGGGGTTTCTTAGCCGTAACCTCTCTGGTGGCGGATGCGGGCGTTCGGATCTTCCCGTGTGCCGGATTTGCATCTTTTAACCTGGGAGAAATGGAGGGGGGAAGAAATTCTGTTGAATTGAGCTACAAGGGTACGAAGAAGTTGTCGTCAGCTGTGAGGGAAGCTGGAGATAGGGCTTGAGAAACCAAATACAGCAACTTAAGATGGGGAATTTTACATAACCGTTTAAATCTACATTATTCAAATCCAACAGAGGCCGAGTAATAACCCAATTGCAGTTCCTCAGACGCTCATGGCTGGGTCCCTCCGCAATGCCTGGGTCCCTCTGGTATGTGCCAGCTCCGCTTCGTCTTCTCCCTTCCCCCCCGTTTATTTTTAAAGCAGCATTGAAAAGCAGAAAGGAAATTCGCAGTGGGTGGGTGAACTTTGCCTGTGAGTGACATACGGCAGCGCAGGCAGCCGGCACTTCACGTATGACTTGCGCCGGGCTCCTCGAGGCAGCGTACCCGCTCGGCTTCAGCCCACACCACAGTGGAAAAACAAACTGGCAGCAAGAGAAAAAAAAAAAAACAAAAAAAAACCAACCCAACACAACACAAAACCCAAAACGCTTCCTGGAGGTGGCAAGCGATAAGTGTGTTTGGAGCCCTGTATTGAGGCGCAGGGTAACCCGGGGGTTCCCCCCTTTCCGGCATCACCCTGCTTTAGCATCCCCACGTCACCTGGCGTGGAAAGGGGTCCGTGCCTCCTTGATCCCTTGGGCAGGGAGAGCAGGAAGGTGTCGGTTGCATCAGTCTTGAAATAATCTCTGGAAGCAGGCGGAGGCGGGTGAAGGGGAGAGGTGGGGAGGGCATCCCCCGGCGGGGCCGGCTGCGGGGGTGTGCTGGGGATTGCCGAGCGC